AATGATGCAATTTCTGGTAAAACAACACTATCCGTTGATTAAATACAGATTTAAGGCAGTGATGACTCGCAAGAAATCCTCGCCGTCTTCTGACTAATGGATTATCTTAAAAGTTGGGGCGTCGGGTAACAGTAAATTAATTGATGTGGCAGACCATAAATACTATTACCGAATTGCTACCGATAGCTATAAATTGTACCGATTTGAGCTTCTTGGCTGGCCAGAGCACTCCACACATCAAGCCAATGGCGACCGAACTGTTTGAAGATATTTTTGAGGTCCGTCAATTGAATCCCGATGGCAAGAAATTCGACAAAGGTACACATCATTACCATTTTCTCTTCGTGGTTTACAACGTTCTCTTTCTTCTTAATTACGTGGTATACTGATGCTAAATTATTGCAGTGACCCGCGTCGTGTGCAAGGGTGTGTCGTACGAGCTGGAGCTAACTCTGGATATTAATTCGGAGGTATATCGTCTTCGTCAGAACGAAAAGTTTACTTTGGCACTGGTCAGCACACTAGATTTAGAAGGAAAGCCAGATGACGGGATTTTTAACCAGTCGGGAAAGGTGCGTTGGAGGTGCTTGGTTGAATGCTGACAAGAAAGAAATGAGTCTTACGGTTTCATTGTGTTTTCTGCAAGTAGCCAACACTTCTGGATCGTTATGACTACGGCATGTACGGAAAAGTATTTCAGTACGACCATGAAGGAGGCAACATGGTAGCCATCTATGCAAGTTTTGGAGGTCTGCTAATGTGCCTGCGAGGTGAGCAGCGCCATTTACACATGATACATAACGACACAAGAATCTACTGCTTGCTCCGAAAGCAAGAATCGTAAGGGGATACGTTATCTTGGCTTCAATGCAGAGCTTAGCGGTTCGAGTATAGATCAGCAAAGCCAAAAGAATTGCTACGGACTCAAGAAAGTAGGTCTAGACGGCGTTTAACAACAATATATGCAGCATACACAAGCGAGATTACAATAAACTATCAGTCCATACATTCGATGATAAACTGGCTGTACTGAGCTGCTAAAGCTTGACAACAGCTTTTATTATTTGTCCTCTTTTGCCATTTCGCGCATCTTCTTGTAATAGTCCTCACGAGAAACAGCTTGAGGCGGATACTGGATGTATTTCCACTGCAATTGAGCAATTTCAAATTACAATTATTAAACACTTTCCCGTAAAACCTTTTCATAACCAGCGCACCCTGCTAACAATATAATCGATGCAGTCTGGCTGGGCGTAGATGCATGTTGCAACAATGGGAACTGTGATAGAAAGCGAAACATTGCAATTTGCGTGACATTAGCTTTACAACGCTATCCATGAGTCGACAAAATGCGGCATACTAGTGATATAGACACCAATGCGCGCGATCTCCCACTTAGCACTCGGCATTAGCTGTCAGGAAGCTAAATTTTTGTTTCGCAATAATTTTACTTAAGGCAGCAGTTTTTAAATTTAAACTTAGAAAAGTAAATAACTATTACGTTCTCCAGTTGTTGCTGAGAGATAATTTAGATGATATCAGCAATTGACAAGCTGTAAGCAGGGTCAGCTCGGTACAAAAGAAGCATCTCGTGCTAGAAGAACGGCTTACAGCATACGTTGCGCGATCGAATCTCCTGACCATAA